ATTTAGATTAGGTAGCAGTATGTTATGGTGGAAAGAATAAGACCCCTAAAGTAAGATTGTTTTTTTGACTCTATTACTTACTAGCTGGGTGACCTTGAGCAAGTTTCTTAATCTCTTCAAATTTATTTCTTTATATATAATGTGTGTGTGTGTGTGTGTGGGGAGGGAGAGAGAGAGAGAGAGAGAGAGAGAGAGAGAGAGAGAGAGAAAGAGAATGGAGAGGAGAGGAGAGGGGAGGGGAGAGAAAATTAGAGAAGAGAGAGGAACAGAGCTAGAAAATAAGAAGGAACTCTGGGAGCACATATGAGGGTCTCAGTGCATGAAAGTTCACAATGCCCTCACAAAGTAGGCACTCAAATATCTGTCCATTTAGTGAAAAGCCTACTTCTTCAGCTGCACCAGCTCCTGGAAATAAGTCTCCTTTGCTTTAGAAGTATCAGAATGTCCCAACGGCACATTATGCAAAAGAAAAACAGCACCACGCAGGCCCTGAAGTTGTGCCCTGGATTTGAAAATGGTTGGCCTAGTGTTCTTTGACTGTAGAAACAGAATCCTCTGAGTTCTCTCTAAGTGCTTTATCAGAATGCCTGTCTAGACAGTGCTGGATCCCTAGAGAAATAATGGAGGAAGAATTCAAGGGACCTGCACCCCCAAACTAGATTAAGTAATCCCTCTACGTGGTTCACAGCACACTGTACTTCCCGTTATCACACTGTATTGTAAGAGCCTGTTCACTTTCTGTCTTGCCAACCAGACTGTGAACTCCGCTACAATATAGCTGTTTTATTCCCCACTTTTTAACTCATAATAGAGGCTCAATATGTATTTTTTTCAATTAAAAAGAAAGCACACAAACCCAACAACTTCCTTAAAACATCTACCACTAAAATCAGCCTAGAGCCGTGGTCGGCAAACTGCGGCTCACTAGCCACATGCGGCTCTTTGGTCCCTTGAGCGTGGCTCTTACACAAAATACTGACTTCTGCGCATGGGCCACAAAGTTTCAATCGCACTGTGTGTGCGTGCTCGCACGTGGTATTTTGTGGAAGAGCCACACTCAAGGGACCAAAGAGCCGCATGTGGCTCGCGAGCCGCGGTTTGCCGACCACGGGCCTAGAGTATTCATATTTTCTACTCTCCCAGTCCCGAGATTGCTTTCTCCTCCCTCCTCCAGGCCCCTGACAGAGCAATCACTTCTCTAATTTCATCATTTAGGCCACTTAGATATCTGCTCAGAATGTTCCTCATCATGTTAATTCACTCAATAAACTGTGTTCAAAACTAGGATCTCATGTACTGGGCCCAATGGCGGGGCTACAGCAGTGAATGCTCCAGACGCCTCCTGGGGAGCTCACAGAATAAAGTGGGCTTGGATGGAGGCTCTGAGTTTCAGAGAGGCCACTAGCCAGGCGCCAAAATATTTCTAGATCCGTAACTACACCCTATCATCAACTTGACTCTAAAAATTACAATGTGGCTAGTACATGATGTTCACTCAATAAATATTTGTTGACTAAAGGAATGAACGGGATAGATAGGAGGGGAATTTCAGTGAGCTTTTATTGCTCTGGGCTGATATAGGAGATATGCAGCAAATTAAATCCTTTTTTTGAAGACTAGTGACCCTTTGCACTGATTCGTGCACATTGCAAGGAAATTAACTAGAAGGTGGCCGACGGGGTGAGCCAACCTCCCGCTGTCCCTCCCCAGCCAGCTGCACCTGGGGTGGCACCACGGCTCAAACGGCGTCTGTGGAGTGAGTGGAGTCCCCTCAGCAGGTGGGGTCCCGCAGCCTGGTGGAATCGTGTGGCCCCGTGAGGAAATGGGCTCCCTCCTCTCTGGTTCTGGGGTGTATTACCCCAGAACTGTTGCCAAGTCACCACAGCCCGGCAGCTCCCGCGTTGAGGGTCTGCCCCCTGGTGGACAGTGCATGTCATACCTACTGGCCGGTTAGACGGTCAGACAGTCTTTTAACCTTTTATATATATAGATAAAGCAAGTACGAAGATCTTTTATTTGGGTAGGTCTGGTTTTTGCCACCCACTAAGCTGTTCTGTTCACCTGAGAATTTACAAACATTTCATAAGTCCTCTGAGGAGCAGGTGATGCCACTGCAAAACATTTCCTGTCACCCACTATGGGAGGCAAGGCTGTCCCACAGCTAAGCATGTCCTGCTTGCCTTCAGAGTTCCCCCAGAGACTGCAGAATGCTGGTTAACCAACCTTCCTAAAGGCCAGGCACCATGACATTCTGCTTCCGGGTCCTCTTTGGCTCCAGCAAGGACCTGGCTGGGTTTCATTCTCTCCTTTACCAACAACCTCCAGTTATTTTGCTGTAGGCTCCTCTCCAGGGCTGGTTTGTGCCCTCGAGGGAATGGGTCTTGTCTCTCTAATGTCCCACAGTCCTTCCTGCCCACATGGTAGGTGCTTAATAAGCATGTTTTTAAAATCTGTCTTCAGTTGTAGCCCTGCCCAGAGAGCCATCATGTGGAGTGGAGCAGAGGGTCAGGACACAGCTCCCCACTATTCTAGAACCCTCCAGACAGCTTTCACTCATTCTTTCTTGCCTTCCATCTTCCGACAGTGCTTTCAAGGATGGGGAATGGGAGACAACCCTGGGAAAGGAAATCGCACAACACGGGTTGACTGCGGTCGGTTAGAGGCCAGGCTGCACCCTTCCTTTGGCTAAACATGCGTGCTTGGGGAGATGACGTCGGTCCCCATGGGAAGGCCTTTCTCCCGTCCTGTCCTCCAAAGCTTCTGGACGCATTGGGACCTCAAGCAGGGTGTTGAAAGGTCAACTTGTTTGGTACCAACTCTGACTCAAAAAGATGATTCTCCTGTGGGGAGCAGGAGAGGAGAGGAACGGGGGCAGTGAGATTTTCCAGCCGCTCCACCCAGAGGGTAATTAATCCAAAGGCAACGGGATGGGTGGAAGGCAAACATCTCCCATTCCACCCCCGCCCCCGCCCGGGGCTGCTGAGTCCCAAGCGCCCCTCTCAGTCCTCCGGTTGCGCTCACTCCCCTCACGCAGCAGAAACCCCGCCCGGGACCAGGAAAGGTCTTGAACTCTCCGGGGTCTGCACGCGCTGCGGGAGACCTGCGGCCCGCGCCCCCAGCGGAGCCCGCTCTCGGCCAATGGGAGCCCGAGGTCTGGGGATGAGGAGTGCA